AAGAAATACCTTGGCCACCCCTGTGTCACCACTTGAAAAACAGTCCAGCTCCGCCCCTTGACTCAGCAGACTTAATTCCATTCAAGACAAGTTTCTTGTTTCGAGTCATTGCCTTGGACCTAAATTGAAAAAAAAAATCTTATTGTGGAATTTTGTTGTGTCCTGTTTTAGATTTCTATCTTCATTTTGGGGAAAAACATCCAAAAAGAAGATGCAAAAAGGACTTTTGAGAATTTTTTTTGACACATAGGAAAATCTAACAAACTTGATAATCTATTTTGTTCAGAGGAAAAGGCTGGAGTGTAAGCAAAGACAATCAGTTGGTTTTGACAGCATGTACTGGATTTATCTTTAGAAAATCAGTAAGAAACCTTTTTCTATATTCTAATTCAAGCTTTCAAGAAACAAAGGGTTCGTTTTTTTTTTTTGCTCTAAGAACTGGAAATAGTTGGTTTATGCTGTGTGTGCTCAATTTAACTTCAATTCTTAAGGCTTACTGCTACATTTCTCAGTTATTATAAAACCCTAATGGTCAATTTGTCTTTGAGGCCCTTGGATATTTCCGGTGGCTGTGGGAATATGTAGGAAATGGGAAAACTTGCTTTCTAGAACAGTTGTAAATAACTGTAGCAAAACAGAGCTCACCTGTCTTTTTTTAAAGATCATCTTAGATAACAATTCATTGCAATAATGAATATAAAAGAAAATGCCACAACTTGTAATTAAGTAAAAACAAATCATTTTTTTATAAATCTACATACTATATATAATGCAAATAAATATATATCTATACGTCTATAGAGATCTATAGAAAACATTGATCACTGATTGTCAGAGGCCATGGCATACGTTCTGTTATATGGCTGTTTTTTTTTTAAAGAACTTGAAAACGTTAATATGTCACGGTCCTTGCGTGTCCAACTCCATGCACTGAATGTCCATCTGGCACTCACACGGACACACAATGAAGTGTAAACACATTGTTGCATACGCTCACTCAAACATCATTTACTGGGTTTGTTTCTACATTCACCCCCATTCCTTTTTTTTAAACGTGTGTTTATGGAAGCCCCTGAAACATCATGCAGAGGTGCCCGTATTCATGACAAAACAATAAGTAAAATAAGTGGGTCTCTTGTGAGGATGGGTTCTGCTGGGGAACAATACAATCTGGCATTTCAGGAGTGCTAACACTTGTGTTGCGTTTTAATCAACTCGTCCATTTTTTTATTTCTTTTTTTTTTGTCTTTCCAGCAGGTGTGAGTCAGCTGCAGACTGAAATCCAACATGTATTCGAAATAAATGGGATTTTTAACATCAAGTAGTTCTTTTATCTCTGTGTTGCACTATGTAAATATGTGAGTGGGTTCAGCTCATATATTTACATTAATTGAGATACACTATATCTATATTTAACTGATCCTGCACTGAGAGACAGATAACATACTGAATTTTTATCTGAATGACCTTTGAGAAAAGACTAAAATGTGTATTTGAATGAATTTACATTACTGCTAATTTTGTCATTACAGACTAATGCAAGTGTGTGTGAAAGAATTGTTTTCAGTCTTTTTTAGTCTTTCCTGTGCTTCCCAACTTCTCCATTCCACTTTTACTTTATTTTATTTATTTTATTT